ATAAAAAGATGTGGGCCGGGGATGTCACTCAGCAGCACCTTACCTGTCTGGCAAGCACAAGGTCCTGAGTTTGATTCCCAGTACCGAAAAATAAAATAGTATAAAATCGTATAATTTTAAAAATAGTTGAAATGGAGGTGCTAAGCATCGATACTAATGTGAAGTATTTATTTTTCTAAGGAAAAATGAAAGTTGCTCCTTTATTTCTTGCCAAAAAGACTCAGAAAACAGCTGATCCTATCCTGGCTTTTGATGAGAACAGGTCAGTGCAATACAGATTTTAAAATGACAGAATATTTTATGTAATGCATTTTATATTTACTAATTTACTTTGATAAGAAAGCATGTAAATTATTGTTTGAATCCTTAATAAGTCCATTTTATTTATTTTTGTTGTTGTTTTTTTGTTTGTTTGTTTTGTTGGGGTTTTTTTGATACTGGGAATCGAACTTGGGTCCTTGCGCTTGTGCAGCAGGCGGAGAAACCACTGAGCTAAATCCCTGGCCCTGCTTGTTTGTTTTTTGGGACAAGTCTCATCTTGTAGTTCAGGTTGGCCTTGAACTCATGAGGTAGCCCACACTGGCCTCAAACTTGGAGTAATCCTCTTACCTCAGCCTTCCAAGTGCTGGGATTACAGGCATGTGCCACTATGCCTGGCAATAAGTTTATTTTAAAAGATGATAATATTGGGGCCCCAGATTTAGCTCAGTGGTTCTGCCACCTGCCTCAAAAGCACAAGGACCTGAGTTTGATCCCAAGTACCCAAAAAAAAGAAGGGCCAAAAAAAAAAAAAAATGATAATATTGACAATACTTCCATTGCTATTAAAGATCTTGGTTTTTGGCATATTGTTTGTGACCATTTCTAGACAAAATAATAATAATAAAAAACAAAAAATCAGGCTGGGCATGGTAGCGCATGCCTGTAATCCCAGCCCTCGGGAGCTGAGGCAGAAAGATCGCTTCCAGTTCGAGACCGAGACCAGTCTGGGATACAAAGTGAATTTAAGGCCAGCCTGAACCCTCCCCACCTAATTCCCAAAAATATAGCTGGACATTGTGGTGCTCACCTCTAATCCCAGCATTCTGAGAGGCTCAGTCAGGAGGATCACAAGTTCAAGCCCAGTCTAGGCAATTTAGGGATTTAGTGGGACCCTGTCTCAAAAATAGAAAGAGCTAGAAAAATAGCTCAGTCAGAGAATGCCTTTCGGTTTGATCCCCAGTGCCACAAACAAAAGAAATCCAAAATATAAAAAGAGCTGATTATGAACTTCCTTCATGAATATTTAAATACCCAGTATGTACCAGATACTGTTTTTTTTTTTTTTCTTGGTACCTGGGATTGAACTCAGGACTTCATGCTTGTCAGCCAGGTGCGGTGCCACTGAGCTAAATCCCCAGCCCGAAATACTGTTTTTGGTACTATGGATATTATGGAGAACAAGACAGGACACATTCTCTGTCCTCAATGAGGCTTCTAGTCTAGAAGGAGTAATTAAACATTACTTAGGTCATCAAATGAAAAATTGTTATTGTGCTTAGGAGAAGTACAAAATTCGGTTAGAATTTACATTAAGGAGGTTGGGTCTGGCCAAGGAAGGCATCACTGAAGAAAGGACCCTCGAATTGAAATCTGAATGGCAATCATGTCATCTGGGGAAAGAAGTGTATTCTAAACTGAGGGAGGTCTGTGCAAAGCACCTGTAACTAGAAGGAGCCGAGTAAATGCCACAGACAAAGAATTCTAGTGGGACTTGAGTGCTGGGAGCAAGGGTGAGAGGAACATTAGATTAGGCTGGAGAGGCAGGGTGCCAGTCAATGTATGATCTTGAAGGCCATGTTGCAGAATTGTATGATTGAGCTAAGAGCAGTAAGCAGCAGCCGAAGAGCTTAAGCATGAATATGGATATTAACAAACTTAGATTTTGAAAGTTTAATGTATTTGCTGGACAAAACTAACAATTCCTTAAACAATGGAAAAAGAAATTGCAGGACATGTGTGAGATGATGGAGCTAAGAGGTAGGGTGTTAGAAATGATGTATGAAAAGATTTTTAGGATTTAAATTTGATTATTTAGATTTGGGGAATAGGGCTAGAAGTTGGTAGAAGAATGACTGACACAAGTTCTAGTTTATGCAACTGCATGGTACGATGGAAGGAGACCAGGTTTAAGGGCATCATGAATTGAGAGTATTTTGATTCTGTTTCATTTTTATTGAGGCATTATTACATGTTGCATTCACACATATTAAGCATACAGTTTTGACAAGTGCATCATCTTGAGGCATAAAATCTTTTTACTCTGGAATGGTCATGTGTACTCTTCTTCTGTTATTCCCACCACTACATGACAAAAATTATTCTGATTTCCGTTACTATCAATTAATTTGATTTCCACTGCCATAGATTAGTTTCTTCAGTTCGAGAATGCCACATAAACTTCATAAGTGTATTCTTTGGTTAACATTCACGTACACACTCTCACTCACTCACTCACACACACACACTTTTTTCAGAACTGGGGATTGAATCCAGGAGTGCTAAGCAACATCTCCAGTCCTTTGCATTTTTTAATTTTGAGCCAGGGCCTTGCAAAGTTGTCCAGGTTGGCCTAGACAGCTATCCTGCCTCAGCCTTCTGAGTGCTGAGATTATAGGCTTGTGCTACCATTGCTGGTTAGGATTTTTCATTTTTGCCACTTTAGTGGTTCAGTAGTGTTTGCAGTGGTATCTCATTTATTTATTTATTTCATTATTTATCAATGCTGAGGATCAAACCCAGGGCCCTTGGGTGTGCTAGGAAAGTGTTCTACCACTGAGCTATACTCCTAGTTTTTGTTTACTTTTAATTAATTAATTTTAATTTTAAACTTTCTGAAGATATACCTTACATTGAACTATGCATTTAAAGTACATATTTTGTGAGGCTTGTTAATTGTATACAGCGTGAAACTGCCACAATCAATATATGGGATCATTTTCATTAGCCACAATGGATTCATGTTTTTTACTCTATTCTTCTTATGGCCCTACCTCAAGCAAACACTAATTTCTTTTCTCTATACTAGTTTAGATTTTCTAGAACTTCATATTAAGGAAATCATACAGTCTTAATTATATGTGTGTGTGTCTGTGTCTGGCATCTTTCTCTTACCATAGTGATTTTGAGGCTTATTCATATTGTCAAATATATCAGTTTGTAAAACAAAAGAAAAAACAACCAAAATTTTAAAATACTAGTTGGTACTATATTTGCTGAGTGGTATTTCATTGCATGGATATGCTACTTTGTGTCCATTTACCTGCTAATGGGCATTTAGTCGTTTCCAATTTTAAACTATTGTCTCTAAAGCAGACATGAGCACTTACATACAAGTCTTTGTGTGGATATACATTCTCACTTTTCTGTCTTTTAAATTTTATCCATTTGAATGGATGTGAGTGGATCTTTTTTGTTTTTTGTGTTTTGGGTTTTTTTTGGTACCTGGGATTGAACTCAGGTCCTTGTGCTTGCACAGCAGGTGGCGAAACCACTGAGCTAAATCCCCGGCCTATACATTTCCCTTTATAAAAAATTACTCACAATGTAGTATTTCAGGCTGGCCTTGAACTCAGTATGTAGCCCAGGCTGGCTCAAATTTGTGGCAGTCCTTTTGCCTCAGCCTCGTGAGTACTGGAATTACAGGTGTCCACCACCATACCGGCTACATTTGCATTTTCCTGATGTCTAATGATGTTCAGCATCTTTTCATGTGACTATTGTTCATTTGTATATCTTCTTTAGGGTAATCTTTTGTTCATTTTTGTATTGGGTTGTCTTATTGAGTGGTTAAGGATACTTTATACATTCCAGTTGTAAGTCCTTTGCCAGATATATGCTTTGCAAATATATTATTCCTAACTTTATAACTTGATTTGGAGATAATTGATATCCCATCAATGACTCTTTGATTCAGGGTTATGTTATAGCTCTGTAAGTCTTAAATTTCTTTTACTTGTGCACTGTAGTATTCAATGAAAGAATGTTGTAGGTATTTTGTTAAAATTATCTCTTAAATATCTCATGGAGAAAGCCCCCTGTACCATTGTGTATTGATTGCAGGTTCTCATGAAATTGCCCAGCAGGGCTCAAACTTGCAATCTTCCTTCCTCAGTCTCCCAGAATGCTGGGATTATAGGTAGGTATTCACCACCATACCAGTAGGCAGAAATATACCTCTTCTTTTCTAAGATTAAATCCCATTATCTAGATTCTCTTTTCTAAGATTAATTCCTCTAGTGTAGCTTCAAGTGTAATCTTCCCCTCATTTCACTCCAAACAAAAAAAGCAAGCAAATAGAAAATTTTATAACATCTTTCTAATTACCCAAATTTCTAATGTGGAGGAAATTAAAGTTCTGACTCTGGGGAAGGCTAGGAAGAGTGTGTAAGCTGTGACATGCCTCCACTCCACCTCCCCTCCAGTACTCAGCCTTCCTTTTCCCCTGCTCTTTCACCTCTCTCCCTCTTCCTCACACTGGTCAGGATTTTTATGGCTTACCAGGTGTGGTGGCACACATTTGTAATCCCAGCAGCTCTGAAGCCCAGGTCAGGAGGATTATAAGTTTGAGGCCAACCTGGACAATTTAATGAGACCCTGTCTCAAAAAAATAAAAAGGGCTCAATAGTTACCCCTGGCTGGATTCAATTCTCAGTGTTAAAAAAAAATAAAAGATTCCTATGATTCATAATCTGAAGATAACACAACTAAAATAGATATCAATACTAAGCGTCATAATTTTCCTGTTATATTGGAACCAATGTTATTATACAGGTTTCTATAAGAAATTTTTTTTGAGGGCTGGGGATTTAGCTCAGTGGTTTCATCGCCTGCTGTGCAAGTGCAAGGACCCGAGTTCGATCCCCCGTACCAAAAAAAAAAAAACCCAAGAAATTTTTTTTTGATACCGGGGATGGAACTTGGGTCCTTGCACTTGCATAGCAGGCGGCGAAACCACTGAGCTAAATCCCCGGCTCTCCTGAAAGAACTTTTTGAAAGTGACACACATTTTGTTTTCTGATTGTAATATAAATGCATGTTCAACAACAACAACAACAAAACTCTACCTGGGGATTTAGCTCAGTGGTGCTGCCGCCTGCCTCCCAAGTGCAAGGTCCCGAGTTTGATCGCTGGTACCAAAAAAAAAAAAAAAAAAAAACTCTAAAGCTGGGAAGGTAGCTTAGTGGTAGAGTACTGACCTAGCATGTCTGATGCCCTGTGTTCCATCCCCAACACCATAGAACAAAAATCAAAAGACAGAGAAGAAAACTCATCTCCCACCTAAAGATAGTCCCAGTTAACATTTTGGTGGATGTCTTTTGAGACGTTTTTTTCCTATATGTATTTCTATACATGGTTGATTTTTGTTTTTGTGATAAACAGAAAGGAATTTGACCAGCTAACATCATAGGTGGCTGATAGATTTTTAAGTTAAATTCGAAAGTGTTTATTTTGTAAATAGTTTGTTTTTGGTATTTATAACCTTAGTTTTTATTTTTCAAATCATTTTCTTAAAAGTCAAGATACATCTGAAAAATCTCAGGATTGTGATGTACAGTTTAAAGCAAAGCGTGATTTTCTAATGAGTGGTTTGCCAGATTTGTTGAAACGACAAATTGCAAAGAAAGCTGCTGCACTGGATATGTATAACGCAGTGGGTACCAGTTTCCAGGCAGTTGTTCATATACAGCAAAAGGATGATGGTAAGTTTGTTATTACTGAATATTAACTCTTTTTTAAAGGCCATATGAAAACTGTCTTAAGATGTTTAAAAATGAGGCTAAAGTTTCCTAGACCCATCAATTTTATGGTGAATTTAGTGGGAATTTTTTTTTTGTCTGTTTGTTTTTGTTTTTTAAGAGAGGATCTCCCTGTGTAGTTTGGCCTGGCCTTGAACTCACTTTGTAGGCCAGGGTGGCCTCAAACTCTCAGCTGTCCTCCTGCCTCAGCCTCCCAAGTGCTGGGATTACAGGTGCACGGCACCATGCCCAGCAAGTCGGTATTTTAAAGGTGTGTTTCATCCTCTCTTCCTCAGCTTTAGATTCAATTTACTGAGTGTGAGTACTGGAGAACCAAGAGACCAAAGGGAACCCTACCCCATTCTTTATGTCAGGGTGTGAGGAACCTGGAGTGAATGTTATTCTCTGACAGGTGCTATGGTCTAGAAAGGAAGGCAGTTCCCCTCTGAAATCATAGCCTGTGTGTGACTGGATTAGCTTAAGGGTTTCTCAAGGGGCTGAGGACATTGGTAAGAGTGCGTGCTCAGCGTGCATGAGGCTCTGGATTTGATCCTCAGCACTGTGAAAAAAAAAAGAGAAGAAAGAAAGGAAGGAAGGAAGAAAGAAGGAAAGAAATTAAAACATAAGAATTTCTCAGAAGAGCCACAGCTCTGTCCTGACCTGACTATTGTTGAATGTTCAGAGAAAGTCTATTTGCCTGCTTTCCGAAGAAGCTTTGGCTGTTTAGTACCGTATGTCTCTTATGGAATACATATGTAGCAAGTAGTGACTTATACTATGGTATTAGTATTAGCCTGGTCATAATGTAATTCTATTTGTGTACAAATACTGTAGCAACCATAATCTTAGTTTACTTATAATATTTATTTATTTTAGTTTTAAATTGTTATTATTATTTGCATTTTTTGAGACAGGGTTTTGCTATGTAGATCAGTTTGGCCTTGAACATATTATGTAGCCCAACCTGGTCTGGAACTTGTGGCGATACGATCCTCCTGCCTCAGCATCCCAAGTGCTGGGATCACAGGCATGTGCCATCATGCCTGGCTACTTATAATTTTTTTTTTTTTTTGGTAGCAGGGATTGAACTCAGGACCTTGTATTTGCAAGGCAGGAGTGGCACCAATAAGCTAAATCCCTGGCCCTACTTATAATTTTTAATTACTGATAATGTGTAGAGTCTTTTATCATTATTTTGCCATGTTCCTACCTAGAGATGTTTTTGTATTGTGTTTTGTTTTTTTGCAGCCCCAAACAGTTGTGTTCATCTCACTTGGCTTTGAAATTTAGTTTGGTGCATTCCCTCTGCTCATGAATGTGCATTGTGTTCTGTTTTCCTTTCTTTTCCTTTTGTGTTTCTGACCTGATACTTTATGAGTTTTGTTCCGCTTGTCTGACTGTCTGTCTGTCTCTCTTTTGGCGGTACTGGGGATGAAACGTAGGGCCTTCCACATACTAGGCAAGTGCTCTACCACTGAGCTACATCCCAGCCCTGTTCAGCCTCTTTTTTCCTTAGGGGATTTTACAGCCAGTTTTTCTAATAATTTCTTCTGTTTTTTCTTATTTTACCTTCTGCCACTGACCATTTGGTTGATGAAGGCTTTATTGGTGTTCTTCATAGTACAGGATCATATAACATTTCCTCCCTCCTTCCCTCTCTCCTTTCCTCTTTTAGTGCTGGGATTAAACCCAGTTCCTTGAAACTGCTAGGAAAGTGCTCTACCACTGAGCTAAACCCTGTCTATCTCTGTATTTTCTAACAGTATGTTCAACTACAGAAATTAGTTGTGTTTTTCTTCCCTGAATATGATAAACCCATTTTCCAAAAAAACACACAAAAAACCCATTTTCACAGGAGTACTACTGTCATTTACTTTTTCTTTTTCTTTTTTTGGTACTGGGGATCAAACTTGGGACCTTGCACTTTTGAGGGAGGCGGTGGAACCACTATCATTTCTCATTTGTAGGCAGTCACAGAGGGTACCTCGCTCTCTTGCATCCTTAGGAATTATTGAGTATTTACTGTTATCTGGAATTCTTTTGAGCAGATAATTCCTAAACAATTCTAAGAGGTTGAATATTGTAATTATCACCTGTGCTTTACAGATGAAACTATGGTTAGGGATCTTGCCATATTCACAAGGGTAATAAGTGGCAGAATCTGGATTTGAATACAGGTCTGACTTAAAAGTTTAAACTTTAAAGTAGGATGTTAACTGCCCTTTAAATTTTTACCCTGAATATCGAAATGACAGTTTGTTAATATCCACTTGTTTTTAACAGTTGGTAGGGAAGATAGGTAATTTTTCTTAATGGTATTTCTTTCTTTGATACCGGGGATCTATCTCAGGACCTTGTGTTTGCGAGGCAGGCGCAAGGCGCCAAAGCTAAATCCCCAAGCCTTAATGGTATTCCTTGGATGTGAGGATTTTCTTTCCTGTGTACTTACTTGGGTTTGGGGTCCTTCTGTGTTAACTATGCAATTGTAAGTTTGGGGTTTTTGTTGTTGTTGTTTTATTTATTTTTTGTGTGCTGGGAATGTGTTTGGATACTTGACATTCAGTAAATGCATAGTGTATAAAGTTAATAAAGATATTTGTTCTGTTTTTCTTTAGGGTGTTGGTTATGGCATTTAAAACCACCCTCTTGTCCTCTTTTAACTAAATTTAAAGAACAGGATACAAAAGTAACAGATATTTCCAAACATGTTATTGTTCTTGGTGAATTCTCAACATGGGATTCAAATTTGAACAGTGATTCTGCTGTCATGGTGAGTACTAAAGAGCTCATTACTGTAGAATGTTTCCTTCACATCCTTCAGAGGAAAAAAACTTGAATATCAGCTGTTGGCTCTTGGAGTTCTTTTTTTTCATAGGGTCAAATTTGTTGCTGTTTTATTTTTTGAGACAGGATCTCACTATGTAGTTCAGGATGGCCTTGAACTTATTATGTAGCCCAGGGTGGCCTCAGACTCACAGTAATCCTTCTGCCTCAGTCTTCCAAGCGGTGAGATTACAGGCCTGTGCCACCATACTCGACCCTAGAGTTAAATTTTTAAAAATAATTGATGTACACATTTCCTTTAAATACTGACAGAGCTTTAAAACATCCTAAGATAAGCCAATTTTGAAAATTAATAGCCAACTTTGAAAGAATATTAGATTTTAATATAGCATATTTACACACTTTATTTAGTTTTTTGTTTTGCTTTTCTGGTACTCAGGACCTTGCACTTCCCAGGCAGGTTCGGTGCCACTGAGCTAAATCTCCAGCCCCTTTTTTGGGTTTTTTGAGATAGGGTCTTGCTATGTAGTTCAGGCTGGTCTTGAACTCAGGGTAATCCCCCTGCCTCAGCCTCCCTAGTGCTGGGATTACAGGCATGTGCCACCATGCCCAACTCACATTTAGATACATTATAAGTCAGCATTGTAGTCTAGTAAATATGTAAAGGTCTAATTGAGAGGGAGAAAAACAAAAATATGAACTAAGTCCTTTTTTAAAAAAACTAAATCCGACCGGGGATTTAGCTCAGTGGTTCCACCGCCTGCCTTGCAAGTGGAAGGATCAGAGTTCGATCCCCAGTACCAAAAAAAACAAAACAAAACTAAATCTGTGCCAGGGATTTAGCTCAGTGGTTTCACTGCCTGCTGCGCAAGCGGAAGGACCCGAGTTCGATCCCCAGTACCAAATCAATCAATCAATCCTTCAAAAGCTATGCAAATGCAGCTTTGTGTTTAGTGACTAAAGCTAGTCCTACATAGATCTTGACTTATTATGGACAAAATTATTGATAGTATTAACATTATTAAACAGTATGGATCTGTTATTGTGTCATACTGTTCTTCATTGCAGCATATGAGGACAAGGAATGATTTTTCTAAAGAAGTAAGAAATATTTTGCTGGAGGAAATTAGGTGGTCAAATCCTGAATTTTCTTTGGGAAAATATTTTCCCTTGCTTCTAAAAAAACGAATTGAATACCAGGTACTTTCTGAGTGTCATGGTAAACAAGGTTAGTGGTCATTATTATTATTTATGCTAATATTTAGGTTTTGAAAACATGAAGACTTAGCCTTTGACTCAGAAGTGGCCAAAACATTGCTTACATTGGGCAAAGACAACCATTTACCTAAAGCACAGCAACTTGTACAATGCAGTGTTAATGCCTGCCAGCTTCCAGAGATGCCAACACAAAGATAGCTTTTCCTCATTTACTGAGTTTTGCAGTGTGGGGAATCAAACTCAGGTTTGCGCCACCACTGAGATAGATTCCTAACTCTTAATTTTTTATTTGGAAACAAGGTTTTGCTAAATTGCCCAGGCTGGCCTCACATTCATAATCCTGCCTCAGCCTTCCCAGGAGCTGAGGTTACAGCTGTATGTGTTAACTTGCCCAGTGAAAGATAGCTTTAATTATGTTTGATTATTAATCATTTGTTTGAGGAAAGCCATAGATGAGATCATGTAACTTGTATCTTCATACAGAAGGCTTAGTTTCAGCATGTCAGATTCAATTCTTACCTTTTCATATTAATGTCACACAACTGTTTCTCAGAGGCCATGCTAATCTTCTCTGTATCGTTCCAATTTTAGTAAACAGTATGGAACGCTTCACAAATTTACGTGTCATCCTTGCGCGGATATTTCGAAGTGATATGAAGATTATTGGGTATTGAAAATTGTTTTTGTTGATTAGTAAGCACATGCGTTCTATAATTTCTGAAATAGAAAGTTCACAACTAGAGCCTGATGTCAGTCAAAAAGAAACAAAAAGGAAACGAATGGAAACAGAAACTCAGAAGTCAAAAAGAAAGAAATTAAATGAATATTCAGTAAATCCAGAAAAGATAAGTGAAAAGCCAGAAGAACTTGACAGAAGCAACAACTTTTCTGGTAAAAAGCTAGATTCTTCCGAAGATCTATTTTCTAAAACATTACGGAAGAAACAAACTCCTTTAAGTACAACATGTAAAGTGAAAACAGAAGTAGTAGTGGATACTGATACTCTGATAATAGATGATGACAAAGAGCCTGCAGCAGAAATATCTTCCATTCCTGGTAAGTTAGACGTGTTTTGAAACCCCTTCCCCACCACCCTCTTTGTTTGTTTGTTTGTATTTTCATTGGAGACATGGTCTTTCTGTCTTGCCCAGGCTAGTCTCGAACTCTAGATGCTCCTACCTCAGCCTCCTGAGTAGCTGGGACCACAGGCCTATGACCTGGGACCACAGATCACCATGCCTGGCCTTCTTTTAATTTTGCAACTTTTAAACAATAAATTGTATATAATATAAGTGAAAGCCACACTGATTTTTTTTTTTTTTCCTGCTTAAATTCTATTAGCAATAATCGGGCTCAGATAAACCTCATTGGCTACGATACTGCCACTGCTCAAAGCTTGCTTAAATTCTTTTATTTGTACATTTTAGGTATACAATACGTTTGCATTTATCATTGGGTACTTGTACCTGTACATGATGTATCTTGGTTCTTATTTTTTCCCCATTCCCTGTGCTCCCTTCCCTATTTACAATGACTTTGTTTCCATTTTTTTGTTTTCTTATAATTTTTCCTTTCCCTTCTTTCCATTCCCCTTCCCCTCCCACCTTCCCTACCCCTTTGGTCCTTTTCTTCCTATTTCAAATTATCAGTTATTCATTTTAATCATTTTAATCCTTATTTACACTTTCAGTTTCTCACACCAGAGAAACTATTTGGTATTTACACATGTGTGTC